CAAACGGCACTAAAAATTGCAATTTGTGACATGAAACTACTAAAACGTTACTTAACTTCTGTTTGATGTTTTGATAGAGCGTGTAACAGTGTAACATTGTGTTACTTAAAGTTACTTATGGTTATAGACAAAAGGCCAGTGTTGTGCTGTACTGACCACACATGGTGTGTTGCTCTGGCAACATGAATAAACGTCATATTGTGCCAAGAATAGCCGCTGTCAAAACTGCCACATCTCCAGCTGACATTTATGATCAAGCATCATCTCCCTATTAAACATTTTAACAATAAACATCATTAAGGAGAACATTAGCATCGCATTCATCTAGCAGTCTTTCCTGTCGGAGTCTGAGGTTCTGTCAATCACCCCCTCCCACTAAGTTGGAGGTGTTACACATTTGGGAACAGTTTGTACCAGATCAACAGACTTTAACTTAACACACTTTAACTGCTCCTCTTCATGGTTACCCCAACCCTGCCTGGATGAGGTTCCAGGTCCCATGTGATCCTGAGCAGGTCAGAAGATGGAAGATGAACGGATGGATGGATAGATGGATAGATCGATGGATGGATGCACAGTTGTAAGTATATCCGTTCCCAGCCCTTAACCTCTCTGCAAACAGTTTGAAATGATTTTCAAAATAAGTATTCAGATTATTCCCTGAGAAACTTCTACCATTTGATTGTAAAAGAATAAAGTCAATAAGCTTCACTGGGCGCATGGAAAATCTATACCGAATAAATTACTTTGTAGTTCTCGTGTCACGCTTTTCACGCCCATGTTACGGACGGTCGATCGGTCGCGTCCGCATTAGCCTGGCGGCTCGAACGCGGCTGTGAATGAACCACGCTGTTGTTGGAATCGCCCCGTAATTGGACAGTGGCTTGCCTAGGGCTAAGAGCAGCAGACACGTAAACAGCAAGTCGCCCCTTTTAAGCTCAATGGACAGACTTGGCACCGGTAAAGCCAACAGCGGTGTGTGACCTGAATTCCTTTAGCAGGAGAAGTGTTAGCTTAAGCTCTACGGCAAAGAACATGCTAAAACTCGTATAACTGGGCCAGCGCCCTGTGTAATTACAATCCCGAAGCACTGGCTGAGGTTACTGACCTCTTACTGGTTAGCATCTGTGCTGCGTAGTAGCTTCCTACCCTAGGCTATAACTTCTCGTCACTCTGTTTGCAGCTGTGTCCTCCTCAGCCTGTTCCGCACTACCGCTTTTGTCCACCGGGGGTCCTAATTCACAAGAATGATTTGGCGCCAAAGGCGTTTCGGCCACCCTGGGTGTGACACGGCGTTCTCCCACTTAGCTACGTATCAGTTTGTTTGCAGGCCACTTCAGCGGCTTCTGGAGTGCCACGTGGAATCTGCCGTTTCCCGGGTGACTGCGCGGCAGCCACCGCGGACACGGCGGCTGGGCAATTTGTTGATACCGCCACGGCGCTGCGACCTTTGGTGTCACGCCATATCCCGCCGTGGCCGTTATTCGGCGTGGTTAGAAATCCCCGGCGTTTCCCAGCGACAGCGACGATTTGTCTGCTTCAGCCGTTGCCGCGGCACCTGTGGCGATGTCCCATTGGTCGGCTGCGTGTGACCCTCTGTTCGCCGGGTTTGAAGATCAGAAAATGCTTAATCACCTCTTCACCTGGTGCCGGTGACTAATGAGACAATGCCAGAGGTCCCGTCATGTCTCCCAAGAGCGTCCCAGCCAGTCATTAAGCAATCAATTAATCCAAACGACGTCGTTAATCACAGCCCGCAACACGTACCCCTTATCGTAATTAAAACAAAAAAGTGTACGCACTGAAACAAACTTCAAACTGTGTAATGAACAACAAACAATGGCACTCATTTTAAGGTTGACACAGATTATTCCTAGGGTGCATACACCAATCAGGAACCATGGTGATAATCCGCTACCATGGAGCCTGAAGAATGCCATAATGACTTGTCTTGTAGCTATGGCAACACGATGAAGGCTATTGGTAAAAGACAGGGAATGGGCTTTTCTACAAGCCTCTCGAGGTCTCGATTCTTGCTTCTACAGGCTTCTTGATTTCGATTCTTGCTTCTACAGGCCTCTTGAGGTTTCAATCCTTTCATCATAAACAGGTTTTTATATAATGGTGCAGAACGACATTAGTGGGGGGGTTAGATTTGCCCCTGCCATATGAGTCAGGCAAGCGTATGGTCTTGAGGCTTCTGTAGCTGACACTCAACACCAATTTTCTAATCGCCCGCCCCCCCCCACCCTTCGCATTTAACCTCTCCTCACCTTCTCACTTTATGTACTTTATTTCTACGTAGTCTGACTAATTTGGCTCTGCAAGTCCCCCCCGAGCAAGAACGAGGGAGAAAGACTGAACGTGTCGGCCATCGCGTCCTTGACGCGGACAGAAGATTTTAGCCGGCGCTCTAATTCGTCGCCGTGAAGGACCTCCGCCAGGCTCCCGTTCCGTTTCCCGCGTGTTATTCTTCCTTTTCTCCTCCGCGAAAAAAAAAAAAAAATGCAATTTGGGGACTGTAATAGGAACCCATTACTGCAGAAAAGAGGTGTGTCACCAGAGGAAAACGGAGCCTCTTGCTGTCTTAGCCAAACAGGCCACAGGGGAAATGAAGTTTTGTTCTGCTGATAATATACAGAAGATGATGCAGTGCTTGGCAAAGCAAATCCTCGGCACCTCGGAGGAGAAGAATGAGGCCAGCGAGGCCCAAAACCTGCCTACAAGCCTTCTAAGCGCATGCCCCCCTCCCCCCCGAGACAGAACGTGGCCAGTTAAAGGCAAAAGTACCCAGGGAGAGGGGCGATACTTTGAGTAAAACTCGGGTGCGGAGGGGTGAATTTCCCCCATTTTTCCCCAGACAAAAGCCTCAATAAAGCGAGCTTTCAAGTGATCCGACATTTTCTCCCAGACACTTAAAGTCTTGCAGGGTTTCTCTTCTTTTTTGACAATAATGGCTTTGAAAATGAGTCCAGGACGACCAGCTACCGCAAGCCAGAGCCGGTGAGCTGGAGAACCTGTGGCCTATTCAACTGGCCTCGATTCCGCCTCCCCCCCCCACCCCAGGCCTGTCGTATCGGGTTGGAGACAAATGTGGAGCTGAGGCTCGATGACCTGACAAATGGACACCTCTGTACACACCCCCCTGCCCCCAGAGGCCCAGCTTTGGATGGGGTCAGGAGGCTGTATCTTGCCCCAGCCCAGCTTCTTCTGCAACCTACTTTCTGAGGGCCTTGCCAAGGAAGGCTCCTTCAGGATGACCGGGGCATCGTGGCACTGGGCTTTTGGCGACTGCTGCTGTAATTTAGGTCAACTTTATTTTAAAATATTCATAAGTAAAACATAAATGTCAAGTTGATGCAGAAACACAGAGCTGACAATAAATACACAATGACATGGTTTATCCATCTTCACATCCATAACACAACAACTCCCACTCCTTGTTCCTCACCCAAATCCCCAGGAAGCACAGCAGGTACAGGCCTCTAAGGAACATGTATGCATCCTTCCTGGGTGGAAGCCTCTAAGAAGCAGATCTAAGATCCTCCCAGTTGAGAATTTTAAGGAAAAGATCTCCAACCCTTCTGGGTGGAGGCCTCTGAGGAACAGATCTGAGATCCTCTCAGTTGGAGGCCTATATTAGTACAGATCTATGATCCTTACAGTTGGAGGCCTATATTAGTACAGATCTATGACCCTCACAGTTGGAGGCCTATATTATTACAGATCTATGACCCTCACAGTTGAAGGCCTATATTAGTACAGATCTATGACCCTCACAGTTGGAGGCCTATATTAGTACAGATCTATGACCCCCACAGTTGGAGGTCTATATTACTACAGATCTATGACCCTCACAGTTTGAGGTCTATATTACTACAGATCTATGACCCTCACAGTTGGAGGTCTATATTACTACAGATCTATGACCCTCACAGTTGGAGGTCTATATTACTACAGATCTACAAATCTCCATAGTGGAGGCCTCTTCCCCTTGATGGGTGTTGTGGATGAACCCTAGTGCACCATCCTGCCATTTGCTGTTGGCCAAAAAGGTACAAGGTATTAGCATCTGGCAGGAAAACAAATAAAGTAATATCACATATAATTTTATCAGGCATTGAAACCATTTTACTTTTTTTATAATTGATAAATCATTTCTGGCAACCCAATGAATCCATTAAGATTTAAAAAGACTTATGCTCATTCCTGCATAGCTAATTATTGTTTCGTAATTGAATGTTGTTTATGGCTCATATATTACAACAAAAAGCTGTTTTCTTTTTAGCGTTTATAACAGAAGGCCGGCGTCACGTACAGAGTGCCTCTGCTCTGCCTTGCCGATTAATCTTACACGCCAAAGCGAATTACGTGCATGATTAAGACGCACACACACACTCCCCCGCATTGCCTTGTTACAGATTTAATTATTTTTTTTACTGCCTGTATCTCGGTGACTGTGTAGTAACGCAAAATTTTGATACCAGCGCAAAACACGGGCCTGTCTTTTCAGCAGCCCGAAACTCAACGGTACATTCAAAGAGCTGGGAGGTAAATATTGACTGAACTTCAAAGTTGCTCTTGTGTCAAGATATGAAGAAACAAACTCAGCCGCAAGCTGGGAATGCCGGGCGCCTCCAAGCGTCTTGAATGAAGCCTCGAAACATAACGGCTTCTTGCAGAAATGCGACACAGCGCTGCAGCAGGTCGCATCAGCCGGATTCAGAACACCGCAAAGAACTAATTTCTCAATTACAGAGACTGTGTTTCAGCTGGTGCCGGCCAAAGTCGCAACAACACCCCCTGATTTTCATTGACGCCGGGCCCCGGAAGGCATTTTCAAAAACACTGAATGGATTTTGATTTGACTCCTGGGGCGTCTTACTGAGATCAGAGAGAGGCTTCTCTTCATGATGGGGAGCTAATCTCGCTGATGTGTCAGAACACGTGCTGGCCCCCCTACCCCCCGGCACCCCCGAAACAAATGAGACCCAACTCACCATGTCCGTGTCCGACACCGGGCCGAAACTGGTGACGTAGATATTCGTCTTCACCTCAGTCACAGTTTCTGGGACAGACATGGGGGGGGGGGGAGAAAACGACCGATAAAATCTCATGTGTGTTTGGTCACGTGGTTCATGTCGGCCGCTGATGATTTTCAACCTGTGTGGGAGGGGGCGGGGCTCAGGTTGGGATTAAACACACCAGAATTCAGGGTCATCATCCATTACAAAGGCACTCGATCCCAGCTGAAGGAAAGAGCAGATTTACAAAAGCTCGCAACGACAAAGATTCGGAAGGAAGAATTTGCTGAAACACAGACATCTTGGGGTTTATTCAGCTCAGCACAGGCAGTCTGCCACGGTTTCCTTATAAAGAAACGTGGTCGCCCAGCGCCGCGTCGAGCCTGATGCACGCATGCTAAATCAGCACACCCTGACGTCTGACTAATTGGAAAACACCTTGTTAAAGTGTGTCTCTCCACGGGGTTCCATCGGAAGACTTTCCGCAGTGCCGTGATGCCAGCGTTTGAGGAGATGAGATCACGGGTAACGGAGATAAAAACTAAGGCACTGGATGTGTCTCTGGAACCTTTTGTCCAGCAGATGGGTCTCGAGGGGTTGCCCGATGCCTCCTGGTTCACTAATTAATCAAAAGCCCACCCAACATCATCGACAACAGTCTCAGAACATTTCCAATTTCCATCTCCTTCTCTCTGTCTGTCTGTCTCTCTCTCTCTTGCTCTCTCCCTCTCTTTTTGCCCTCGTTCAGCTAACAAAGATTGCGGTTTCGCCGAGTCCAACTGGCAAAGACAAAAAGAAACGGCTAATTGATCGGATGAGTTAAATCGGCATTAATTCATTTGCTCCAGATTAAATGGGAAGTCGGTTGTTGTGCTGAGCGAGCACTAGTTAGCGAAAGACTCTGCAGACACGGGTGG